GAGAGAGAGAGAGAGAGAGAGAGAGAGAGAGAGAGAGTGAGTGACTGGAACCCAGTGTTCAGGAATTTGACCTCTTTTCCACCATCTGGTCACATGGAAGTTGGCACCAACCTAAGCAACAAGAAGGGGATGGAGAAAATCATAAAAATACCAACTCACACCAGGAGGCTTACCGTTTTCAAGGGTCTATGACGTTTCGTGGAGTGAGGGTTACATGGTGGGCTACTAATGGTAGGTAAGGTCAAGAGTTCAAATCCACCGAGGGTTCCTTGGGCGAAAGACGAGGCTTTCTGGTAAAGAATCACAGTCTCGGGAACTCACAGGAGCAGCTTTGTCACCCTAGGAAAGCGGTTCTCAACCTGTGGGTCCCAACCCCTCTGGGGTCGAATGACCGTTTCACAAGGGTTGCCAGATTCATAACAGTAGCAAAATTACAGTTATGAAGTAGCAAGAAATATAATTTTATGGTTGGGGGGGGTCACCAAAACATGAGGAACTTTATTAAAGGGTCATGACATTTGGAAGGCTGACAAGCACTGCCCTAGGGGTCACCAGGAGTTGGCAGCAACTCGATGTTGGTGAGTATTGACTTTCAGGACAACACATGACAAAACAGGAGTGATGGGAAGTCATGTAAAGTACCAGTGTCAATCTAACTTGATAGGTGTGACTTTAAAAAAAATAAATTATTTTATAGGGGGCTCTCACAGCTCTTATCACAATCCATACAGCAGTTGTATCAAGCACATTTGTACATTTACTGCCATCCTTTTGAAAAGAGTTTCTTTCTACCTGAGTCCTTGATTTCAGCTCCTCTTTTCTCCTGTCCCCCACCCTCGTGAACCCTTGATAAATTATGCATTATGATTATTTTCACATCTAACACCATCCGCTGTTTCCCTTCGCCCATGTTTCTGTTGTTCGTCACCATAGGTGGTGCTGATGTCGATCACTGTGATTGGTTTCCCTTTCTCCCCCAACTTCCCCCTAACCCCAAGGTATCGCTACTCTCATTATTGGTCCTGAGGGGTCTATCTGTCCTGGATTCTGTGAGCTTTTATCTGTACCAGTGTACATGCTCTGGTCTACCTAGATTTGCAAGGCAGAACGGGGGTCATGATAGTGGGGGGAGGAAGCATCAAAGAACTAGAGGGATGTTGTGTTTCTTCAGTGCTGTACTGCGCCCTGGCTAGCTCGTTCCTTCCTTGTGACCCTTCTGTGAGGGGATGTCCAATTGTCTACAGATGGGCTTTGGGTCTCCACTTCGACTCCCCTCATTCACATCGATAGGAGGTGTAACTTTAAAAAAAATCATTTTATTGGGGGCTCATACAACTCTTATCACAATCCATCCATCCATCCATTGTGTCATGCACATTTGTACATTTGTTGCCCTCATCATTCTCAAAACATTTGCTTGCTACTTAAGCCCTTGGTATCAGCTCCTCATTTTCCCCTCCCTACCCACTCTCCCCTCCCTTGATAATTTATAAATTATTATTATTTTGTCATATCTTATACTGTCCGATGTCTCCCTTCACCCACTTCTCTGTTGTCCGTCCCCCAGGGAGGAGGTTATATGTAGATCCTTATAATTGGTTCCCCCTTTCTACCCCTCCCTCCCTCCACCCTCCCAGTATCGCCACTCTCACCACTGGTCCTGAAAGGTGCATCTGTCCTGGATTCCCTGTGTTTCCAGTTCCTATCTGTACCAGTGTACATCCTCTGGTCTAGCCAGATTTGTAAGGTAGATCATGATAGTGGGGGGGCAGGGGGGAGGAAGCATTTAGGAACTAGAGGAAAGTTGTATGTTTCATCATTGCTACACTGCACCCTGACTGGCTCTTCTCCCCACAACCCTTCTGTAAGGGGATGTCCAGTTACCTACAGATGGGCTTTGGCTCCCCAATCTGCACTCCCCCTCATTTACAATGATATGATTTTTTGTTCTTTGATGCCTGATCCCTGATCCCTTTGACACCTCGTGGTTACACAGGAGGAGGTATAACTCTTAACTGAGAAAGCTCCAGAAATCACAGGGATGGGGACAGAGAAGCTCCCAGGGAGGGGCAACCCTCCCACTGGCTAAGTCTAGAACCCGCCTCCCCCGCCAGGGGGCGCACACCCTGCCCGCGCTGGCGGCCCGGTCGTAGCGCCTGTCCGCGGAGGTTGAAGGGTGGGGTGCGTTCAGTGTCCCGCAGGAGCTGCCCAGGTCCCTCCGAATACGAAGCCTAGATCGGAATGGAGTCAGCGCGACAAAGACAGGGCTGAGGATCGGGTATGCGTGAACTGTGGGGAAGCCCCAGGCCGCTGCCCTCCGCCCGGTGGGAAGGAGCCTGGCCTGACACCAAGCACCCCTCACCTCTGTCTCAGGGCCACCGGCACCTTAGAGGGCAGGTCAGCAAAGCCAACTCCAACCACGCCTCTTTGGCCAGAGGGGGGGCGACAGACGCCTTCACAATCACATTTTCCTGTGCGCACCCCCTCCCGGCTCTTTGGTACGAAACCCACCCTCCACGCCACTAAATCCGCCTGTCGCCCTCTTCCCTGCACCTAGGGGACAGTAGTCTTGGCCAGGAAAGCGGACCAGGCCTTCTAGCCCCGCCCCCGCAGATTAGGTACACGCCCCCTCTCGCCCCGCCCCGCCTATAGAGCGTACACGTAGATGCCTCACGCCCGAAACCTCGCGGTACTCAGATATCTCGCGGGATCTTACCGGAAAGGGGCGGGAGGAATGGAGGCGGGGAAGGCGATTGGTGCATTCACTGCCCGGGCTGCGGGGCGGGCGCGCATGCGTGCCTCGCAGCTCCTTGCCGACGGGTGGTCCCTGTGCAGCGTCCCTTCCCTTCTCTTCCCATCTGTGCGGCCTGCGGGTCTCGACGGGTCGGCGCAACCTTGGAGAGGCCTGGCTGCGTGCGGGCCCCGTGCGCTCGGAGGGCGCTGCGGAGCGGAGAGAGTAGGCGCGGAAGAGCCGGGGAAGGGGAGCGTTGGAGGGGCGTGAGGTTGCAGCGGAGCAATGCGAGAGTGAGGACCGGGGCCTGGGGGCTAGGGGAGTCCGCGGGAGGCGAGAAGGGCCCCGCTGTGCCTAGGGTAGGTGAGGAAGGATTCGACGTCGCTGGTGCCCCATCTCTAATCCTGCCCCCTTTCCGTGCCAGGTCACAGCATGGCAGAGAACCGGGGAGCGGCGGAGGCGGGACTGGACCCCGTGGAACACACCCTTCGGAAGCGGCTTCCCCACCGCCTGCCCCGGAGGCCCAATGACATCTACGTCAACATGAAGACGGATTTCAAGGCCCAGCTGGCCCGCTGCCAGAAGCTGCTGGACGGAGGGTCGCGGGGTCAAAACGCCTGCTCCGAGATCTACATTCACGGCCTGGGCCTCGCCATCAACCGCGCCATAAACATCGCGCTCCAGCTGCAGGCAGGTAGCTTCGGGGCTTTGCAGGTGGCCGCCAATACGTCCACCGTGGAGCTGGTGGATGAGCTGGAACCAGAGACCGATAGTCGCGAGCCACTCATCCGCATCCGCAACAACTCAGCCATCCATATCCGGGTCTTTCGGGTCACACCCAAGTAGCAGATGAAGTTGGAACCCCTTCGGCCTCCACCCCCTCCGCAGTTCGGCTGAGAGGTGGCTCTCTGTACTCAGGACTTCCCGGACCCACCGCGCAATGACTGAATTGGAAGGAAGGAAATGGACTGATACCAGGGGAGTAGCTCGAGTCTTTGTAGTTTTTAACCGTTGTTCATGTAATAAAAAGTACCACTTTGTGTTAGTGCCCTGACCCAGTGGTCCCTGACTTCACCGAGTGGACAGATGGGAGGCCAACCCCAAGCCAGACTCATTGCCACGTGGTCCATACCCACTCAGTGGCCCTGTAGGCAGGAACTGCCCCTGTGTGTCTGAGAGATTGTAACTCTTTACAGGAATGTCTTTGACCGAGGAGAGGCCGATGGTTTCAAACCGCTGGCCTTTTGGGGACTGCAGCCCAAGATGTAACCATTACGCCACCAGGGCTCATAGATGGGGCTGTGCTTGATAGTGGAACATGAAACATGAGTGCTGTGGGGGAGCCGGACCATCCCACTGTTGAATTTCCAGTTTTCCACTCTCCCAGCAAGGCCTGGGAGATGTATGCTTGCCCACTCACTGACCCACAGCTGGGACAGCTGTGTGGTTGGGAAGCATCGGCCACTGCACCCCTTGGGTCCTGTGATGGTTCTCAAGCACAAAAGAAGTGAGGGTTTAAGGAGGAGGGAGGCAAAGCAAAGATCGTTGGGGCGGCCTTTGTGCCTGGTGTGAGCACAGACAAAACTTCCCTTGGCTCCTGGAACTGTCCTTAGGTGCTGTCAGTTGGTTTTGACTCACGTGATCCTCTGGACAATAGAACTAAACATTCTCCAGGCCCGCACGAAGCCATGGTGTCAATCCATCTCAGTTAATTTCTCTGTTTCACGATGTCCTTGGCTGATAATGTGTCCCAGGTAGGTGAAATAAGTCTCACCTGTCTCCCTTCTAAGGAGCACTCTGGCTGTACTTCTGCCAAGACAGATTTGTTTGTTCTTCAGGCAGTCCGTGGTGTAGTCCATGGACTTGGCCTGCAGTAGCTGCAGGGCCCGTATTTGAGCAGCTGTGGTCTAGAACACAGGGCCAGCAGGCCCGTCTGGCTGGGCTACTGTAGGAGAAAGGAAGTGCCCTCCTGCCCCCTGATGACTGAACACACAGATCATGCCTATTTTGTTCAACTATTTGTGGGGTTATCTGATTCTTCACGTTTATCTAACAAGTCATCCAAAACAATGTTTATCCAAGTGGGTAGCGACCCATGTGTGGGTCTTGAAATCAGTTTCCTGAGCCACAACCTTAAAAAAGGAAGCGAAACTCGCTTTCAATTCCTACTCCTTGCAATCCCATCTAGGGTTTCCAGCGCTGGAAATCTTTATGGGAGCAGACATCTCCCAAAGAATGGTTGATGGGTTTTGAACCGCCCACTTTGAGGTACAGTCTAATGCTCACTGTACCCCGGAAGGACAACTTCCAAGAGTAGTGTTGTATGGAAGCTTTCCCCGGTATGTCTGTGTACATGTATCTGCACATGTAGTAGTCATGAGGTAAGTGGTTTTTACTGGTGGTCAGGGTCCCAAGAGTTTGAAACCCAGAACTAATGATTAGTAACAGCTTTCCTCTTGCTCTTGGGGGGTGGGGGGTGGGGTGGGGTAGTGGTTGGAGCTCCTCTTCTTCCTTGGGCTTAGGTACTCCTGTTGGTGAGGAAGAGGCATGTCGGGTCAGTGAAATCCAGCAATTCTTGACCCCGCCCTCCAGAGGGGCCGGTGCTGCTTCACACCACTCGCCCACCGTGAGTGGCAGCTAGGCGCGGGACACAGAGATGGGTGTGACATGGCCTGACCCCACCCTTCCAGGCACTCGCATCTCACTGGGAAGGTGGACACAGACATTTCTGTGAGTGAATAAAATGTACGAGACAACAGAGTCCAAGTAGCCATGACCTGAAAAGGTGGGAATGGGAGATCAGTTTCTTCCTGATGGGGCTCCTATCTGAATTTTGACTGGGGATTGAAGGATGAAAGTCCCCTGAAAGGACCACGGGCTGCCAGGAGGACAAACAATTCCCTCTCGGAAGAAGTCCAGCCAGCATGCTTCTCAGAAACGAGGAGGACGAGACTTGGTCTCACATACTTTGGACATGTGATCAGGAGGGACCAGTCCCTGGGAGAAGGACACCATGCCTGGTAAAATAGAGGGGGACTGTGTTAGCCAGAATGCTAATAAATAAATAAATATATATATATATATACAGAGAGATGGATATATGACATAAGAAATAAACAGTTAATTAAATTATAAAGCAGTACAAATGGCTCAGTGCAACTCACTCCCGTGAGACAGTTGTGAGACACTGGAGGTCCTTCAAGTCTTGAGGGCCGCCGGGTAGTCCTCTGTAGAGCAATTCAAGCTATCCGGGCACAGGCAGCAAACAGCAAGGCAGGTCACCCAACAGTCAGCCAGATGACAGGGTCCGACAGTCCCCACCCAGCTCAAGAGATGTAAATTCCAATGTTGTGGTGAAGCAGGTCTTGAAGGAACCTCAGATTACAACGGCACAGTCCACAGGTTAGGTGTCCCACAGGTAGTGTAGCTTGCAAATTGAGACAAAGAACAAGCAAGGCAGCCGCACACTGGTCCCATGATCAAAGAGCAAGAGACAAAAAAGGCGAGGCTCACCGAGCCATTTATCTCTCCGCCCTTCAATTAATCCCACATGTGTTTATTGGCCAGGTTGGCACAATAAACTAACTACCTACCTCAGCGAGATGGATTCACCCAGCAGCTACAAGCATGGGCTGGACCAGAACGACTGAGGGTGGACAGCACTGGGCAGGGTTCCATTCGGTTGCTCCGTGGGCCATGAGGAGTTGGAGCTGACTTGATGGCACCAAACAAAACCCAAAGGACGTGAAGGAGTGTGCCAGGCAGAGGAGAGGGTAGCTGTGACGGAGGGCTCAGCATGTTCGAAAGGGAAGATCAGTGCTGAAAGAGGATGCTTCCTGGAACTGGCAGGAGACTCAAGATGGCGAGAAAGCAGGAGGCCCAGGGGTCATTCAAAGGAGCCCACCCCCACTTCCCCATTCGCCTTGACTGCAGGCCTCCCTGGCCCGGAGGCCCCGAGAGTGGAATGGGGCTTCGGCAGGGAGCTGGGCGAAGCAATGTGTCTCTCTGCACGTATGTGTTCTTGTGTGTCTGTGCTCCTGGCCTGGGCCCAGCCGAGGTGGTGGCAAGCAGCCCTTCTGTGTTTGGTTTGTTTTGGCAGCTTCCTCTCTCAGCCTATTTGTTGTTTCTTCTCCGTGTTCACTCGCTGCTTGCCAGCGGGATGTGGCTACCGGAGAGTCTGGATCTCACCCGCGTGTGTGTATGTGTGTGTGTGTGGGGGGGGGGACTGAAATGGGTCCCTGTTCCACTGGGGCCCCTGCATGGTGGGCAGGACACTCTTGTTTCTCCTCCGTGGGGAGGACCCCTGAAGCCTCTGCTCCCCTCTTTTTCTGGGGGCCCTGGGGAAGAGGATGGAGGTATGAGTTGTGATCAAATGCAGCCCCTTCCCTTTTTACTTGACAGCTGTGAGACTCAGGAGGACATCTTGCTTCAGAAACAGACCCTCAGAGGCCAGAACTCAAATCCAAATGCTCTCAAGGAGGCTGTGATGGTGAGGGTTTTAGTGTCAACATGGCACCCGGAAGAAGATATGAGTGGAGTCTCTCCTGTCAAATGGGTCATAGCGTGATGGTACCTGCTGGTGGGAGAGGTCTTCTAGTAAGGAGGATCCTGGGAGCTCTCTCTCTCTTTCTCTCTGCCTTTGCCTTCCTGCTGGAGAGCCACTCGGAGACCTGCCAGAACCCTGGAATGAACTGTGCCACGGGATCCACAGGACTTGCACCCACCGGCCGGTGAGCTTCCTGCATACTGCATCATTGCATGTGGCTGCCTCAGTCTGAAGAGGGACTGATGGACTATTATTGGACTTAAGACTACTATCAGATTGATGGGCTACTATCGGACTCATGGATTGATCTGGACTGGGCAGGGATGTTTTCCTGACATAGAACGACTTCTTGATAGAAAGGTCTCTCTTACACATATCTGAGTGTCACTGAATTTCTGTCTCTGGTCTACCCGGTCTAACACAGAGGCTGCAAACATTTGGCTGGCCTCCAGAAGCATTCAAGAACCTACCATCTCAAAATAATAATAATTTATAAATTATCAAGGGTTCGGGGGGAGGGGGAAGTGGGAAGGGAGGGAAATAAATGAGGAGCTGATACCAACGGCTCAAGTAGAAAGCAGGTGTTGTGCGAATGATGATGGCAACATATGTACAAATGAGCTTGACACAATTGATGTGTGTATGGATTGTGATAAGAGTTGTCTGAGCCCCTAATAATATGATAAAAAAGAAAAAAAAGAAAAGAACCCACAATCTCTAAGGATCTTCCCGAGGTGCCAGGTCTGCCAGGAGCGCTACAAATCACAGGTCCACCCTCAAGAGGTTGTTTATCATCTAATAGGAAACAGAATAGATTGATTTAAAGTGATGCTTTGTTGTTACTGGAGTTTTGTTTTTAGTTTTGCCTCTGGCTGCTTTTCTTTATATGAAATTCAGGATGAAGTTCAGGAAATAAATCTACAGCGACAGTAACTGGATTAATAATTTCTTGGGGCTGAGAGAACATGTGGCGCTTATAACTGGGTACCAGGAAGAAGATGATGCTCTCAAATCGATTGTACTGAAGATGGCACCACTCTTTATTTTCTTGTTATTTTTTTCATTAAAAAATAATCATTTTATTGGGGGCCCCACTCTTTTGAAGATGTTTCAACCGCTGTACGATATGCGAATTCTATGTCAATCCAAGTGTTTTGAAAAATAGCGTAAGAGAAGAAGGCGGAATGCAAGCAGGAGCCACAGAGAGGAAATGGGATCCGCCGCGGTCCCGTGAGGGATTGTAATGGATGAGGGGAAACTGACGCTTCTGAACGGAATATAAAACGGATGATCTGCTTCGCAAACCTTCACGTAATTCACAAGAAAGTTTTTAAAAATTGAATTAAAATTAATCAAGTGATACTTTGTGTGGTGGTCCTTGGAACTCTTCTGGAAATAGGCAGCTGCTAAGTCAACATGTGTTGGGTATTCGTTTTGCCTAAAACCTGGCTTTAGGCCTGCATGGGATGGGGAAGGGGCCCTGGTGTCACAGTGGCTTAGGCCTTCTG